TATAAATTACAAATTGATCCCTTAAGAAAATTAGATTATTCCAAATAAACCCAGCTGAGTTTATGTTTATTTGTGTGAGGCTATTTTTGTCATTTCATAAACAAAACTCTCTTAAAAAATCGCACAGGATGCGCGTGTGGGACACGATATGCTCTAAGGGACCTAAATGGCTTTGACATTTTTTCTTAGGGGGGTATTTGCTAATTTTTTTATGACAGGGGGGAATCGCGCAATTGCGATTTTCACAGAGGTAGTAAATGCAATAAACTCATATATATATATATATATATATATATATATATATATATATATATATATATGTATATATATAATATAAATATTTTTTTATATATATACATATTCTTCCTCTTTACATTTAGATTCACTGCAACAATTGCAAACAAAAAAAATGGAAAATTATCAGTCTATTGTACACTCTCCCACTAATCTACTACTCTGTAAAGAAATTGCAACAAGTTTAGACGATGAAGACGAAGCTGCTTCGATTTTCGAAGATTTTTATGAAGATGATTACATTAAATTGCTTCTTGATAGAGAATCCACCACAAATGGTGGTTTACTCCAAATGCAGCAGCAAAATTCTTGGATTCTTAGGGCTCGTTTGGATGCAATCCACTACATTCTCACTGTTTGTTTCCTAATCCCTTCTTTTTTCTCTCACCGTCAGTGTGTGTGTTAGTGTGTGAGAGAGTGAGAAATGTTGACATGTATTTTTTTTTTTTTTGTAATGCAGAAAAGGGAAGTTCTTGGATTCAGATATCAAACTGCTTACACATCAGTCACATTTCTTGATAGGTTTCTTTCAAGAAGATCTATTGATGTAATAATAACCTTCATTTCTTGATAATGTAGATGTTATAATTTTATTGAATTTTTATTTATTTATTTATTTAAATGTATGTGTGCAGGTAGAGAAATCATGGGCAATAAGGCTATTATCAATAGCTTGTCTTTCATTGGCTGCAAAAATGGAGGAAACCACATTGCCGGCGTTATCGGATTTATGCGCCGACGATTACAAATTCGAAAGCAGTGTTATACAGAGGATGGAGCTTTTGGTATTGAACACACTTGAGTGGGAAATGGGATCAATCACCCCCTTTTCTTTCGTTCAATTCTTCGCCGAAAAGTTTCGGAATCGAACGAAAATCGGATTATCGAGAACTGCACACATCACTCTAGCCACAATTAGAGGTGTGTGATTATTGATTAATTTTGATTGAATTGAAGTTTGTATAGTATAATAAACTAATTGAAAAATATAAAATAAAATTGCAGGATGTGAATATAATGACGTGTCACAAACCATCTG